ATTTCATCAGGCGTGTTTACATTCCCAAGTATCCCAGACGACAGTGGCTGATAAGGATGTCTCTGGCCTGGGAGCCCCTGCAGTGACTTTATCTCTACATGGGTCTGGGCTAGCCCTGGCTGGGAAGGAAGAGCGCCTCTGGGTTTCTGAGAAGCTTCACAGTGCGATGCTCAAATGTGGCTGAACCCGAGTGGTTCTGGTGCAGACTACCTAACCTCTCATCCCTCCCTCCCCTGTTGCTGCCGGCTGCACTCCCACTCCCCGACCCCATTCACCCATGACAGGATCCTGCCAAGCCCACCTAGCACCTTTCCTCTTGCTCCTATAGCTCAGTTAATCTGGGAGCCACCTGAGGGCAGTATCACCTGGCTCCCATCCTGGCTGCACAGGGCTGGGCCTCTCACACTAGACATCTGCCAGAACTCATGGCTTTTCAGGCTCCCTGGACCCATTCCTCCCCTCTCTCTTGACTAAGGCAGAGGCTGGAGTTACATCTTTGACTACGTCCTTTCACACCAGCCTTACATGCCTCTATCCTTCTAAGAAGCACTCACTACGTGCCTGGGCACTTTGTTTAATGAGTCCCCCAGACTCCTTGGGGCTTCCCAGTGACTCAGTGGTAAAGAATTCACTTGCCAGTGCAGGAAATGCAGGACTCACGGGTTTGATCCCTGGGTTGGGTAGAATACCCTGGAGGAGGAAATGGCAACCCACTCCAGTAATCTTGCCTGGAGAATCCCATGAACAGAGGAGCCTGGCAGGCTACAGTCCATGGGGTTGCAAAGAATCATACACGACTGAGCAACTGATGTTGCACACCAGACACCCAAGAGGTGTTATCCTAATTCCCATTAACACAAATAAAGCATCCTAGATGGTTGATGACTTGCCCTAGGGCACACAACTGGAAGTGACAGACCTGGGCTCTGAGCCAGGGCTGTCCAACTTGGCTTGGAGGGCTCAACAGTGGGCAGAAGACAGACTCCAAGTTGTACCTGCTAGAGTGAAATTGGGGCACGGGAAGGAACTTACTTGTGTCTGGCTGGGGGAACTCAGAGGGCTGCAGGGGAAAGAGGGAAGAGGTGTGCCTGTCACCTACTGCTGTGTACCCCAAGCCTAGTGCTTGAAAAAGTGACATTCATTTTGTCCTCAAATCTATATTTGGTTAGGGCTCAGAGGGGATAGTTCATCTCTGCTCCATTCGGCATTACCTGGGATGGTTGGCAGTCTGCGAGCTGGAATCATTTGAAGAGTCATTCATGGGTAAGTCCAGGGGTTGAAGCTGGCCATTGGCCAAGAGATTAACTGGGTAGGGCCCTGGTTAGCCAGAACCCTTAGAGTGGCCTCTCCATGTGGCCTGGGCTTCCTCACAATATGGTTACTGGATCTCAGAGAGAGAGAGAAACAGTGATAGAGAGGCATTCAGACAGATGCGTGGAAGCTGAATTACTTTTGTAGATTTTAGCCTGGCAACTTATGTAACGTCATGTCTGCCGCATTCTGTTCACTGACACAGTCACAGAGTTCTGCTTAATTTCAATGGGAGGGGCAATGCACTCCATTTCTTGATGGAGAATGGCAGGTTTTCAGTATGAGGATCTGAAAATACTCCTGAGTCCATTTTCGGAAAATACACCCTTCACAGGGACTTCCTCTCCTGACCTCTCCTCAGGAGTCTCACCTCCCAACCAGCAAGACACTTTCAGAGGCTCAGCAGACATTGCTCCTCTCATCCCAACTATGAAAGCTTGGTCCTCAGTGGTGTGATGGGGAGAGAGTGTGAACGGCTGTTTACTGAGCACTTACACCAGGCCCTACCCCAGGTGCTTCCACGCTTTATTATATTCCATCCACACCATGATTCTACACAGTGGGCCATGCAGCTCCCTGTTCTGTAGGTGAGGAGACTGAGGCTGAGAGAGGTGAGGACTTACCCAGGCCACGAGGAGTCATCAGTGAGGCTGGGACCTGAAGTTGGGTCTGTGTGACTCCAACGGTCCTGCTCTTGTCCTGCACCAGCTGTCCCAGGTTCAAGATAAGGAAGGGGTGATAGCGTGAAGCAGTAAGAAGATGGGCCTTAGATCAGAGCTACTTTGATTCTCATTGAAGTTCCTTGGCCTTGGGTGGATCACTTCATCCCTCTTAGGCTCAGTTTTCATATCTGTCCAATGGGATATCACAGACTTTACAAAACAAGTCAGTGAAATGCAATAATCTCTATTACAAGTTTGGCAAAGCCTCTGGCATGTCATGCAGGGTACTCAGACCACCCAGCCCTCCCTAGACTGGACCTGTTCATCTGTGGGCAGAGCTAAGCTGTCTGGAGCATAAGCCTTCTGCCACTCACCAAGGGGGAGCCCCGGGCTCCTGTTGGCTATTTTTAGGCTTGTGTGGGCAACCACAGAACCACATGTGGGGTTTACCACTGCCTGGCCAAGCCCAGAAGAACAAGAAAACGCTTCTGATGACAGAGGGTGAATATCTGAGGTCAGCAAGGACCTGAGTGCTTCCCAGCACTTCCGGGCTGACATGGGATCAAGTCAGGCTCCCTAGGTCTCAGTTTTCTCATCTGCAAAATGAGGATAGCCATAAACACAGAGCCTGCAATTCTGTGCTGCTTACTAAATGCCAAATACAGATCTCACATGGTTCTTGCTATGAGGGAGTCTGGGTCACAGAAATTGCTCAGATAGAAGAGGGGCCAGAGTGGAACCAGGGCTTTTCACTGCTCTGCTCCCAGCCTCCCCAAACAGCTGGAAGAAGTTCAAGAGGATTAGCTGAGATCATGGATATCAGTATGTTTTTTAAACTGTAAACTAGACTGTAAACTGTAAACCAACAGGCCCAGAGACAGCTTAGGCTCAGTTCCATGGAGACCCCCTTCCCACCCCTCCCCAGCTCCAACCTTCAGTCACAGCATTCCCACTTCCTCATCTATTTTACACTCATGGGGATCCTTGTAAGATTTTATTTCCCGCTATGACCCCTAAAAACGTTTGAAAGCCACTGAGGTGGCTGCCACAAGAGGTGGTAGTTGACACTCCCCAGGGCTCAGAGTGAGGGCTGAGGCCCCAGGTGTCCCTGCCCTTCGCCAGCCTGACCCACAGCTGGGGCCCTAGGGGCCACCTCCCAGCTTAGAGGAGCTCAAGCCTCGGGTCCATTCCCCTTCCTCATTCACATAGGACCTCTGATGGTCTCACTTTTCAGGTTCAGGAAACCTTGTTCCTGGAAGAGTCACCAGCCATGGTTAGAGCACAGAAGCTCTGTATTTCACAGGAGGAAAACAAAGAGCAGCGAGGCGATGTTCATGTGTGCACACGCCTGCAATCATGTGCACTCATGCACACCACACAGACTGCACAGGCCCGCTTCATGCACAGATTCACCTGTGTGCACACATTTTTAGATCTTCACATACACACATGTTCACACAGGCACACACAAAACACATTCCCACAGGCACCTATATGTACACATCACACTTATCCATAGCCCTACATTAAGATGCACCTACACACCTTACCCAAAACCTACATGCATGTCTCATACACTCACATGGATTAACACAAGTGACGGATTTATGCAAAAAGCACACACACCCCCAGTCATCATACACTTCCATGGACAGACAAGTACCAAGATTCAATATACTCACACTGTAAAAGCTGGTATTTGAATGGGTGCTCCCAAAAACATACAGAGATTCATACAAACTGGGTGTGTATATACATTTCATTGACACATATGCATACACGGTAACAATAGACACAGATTATATGAGCATCAGTATATACAGAACAAAACCACACACCATAGCCATCCACACGTGCATGTGCAAACACAAACACACACCCTAGCACATACATGCACATACAAGCTCACCAGTGTCACGTACCAGTGTACATACACACTGCCTTGTCTGGCTCCCTTGTTGCTGAGTGAGTCCGTAAAGGCACAGAGACATGAGCACCTACTTCCATTTCACCTGAAAACCCCCAGCCCCTGGGTGTGTGGGAGGGTGAACCAGACGCCCTCCCTGCAGGGGGCACAGTGGAAAGTATGACCCAAGGTGACTTTTGCAAAGAGCAAGAGTGAGGGTTTTTTCCACCCTGTTACCTCACTGTGCTGGGAGTGACCAGGGACACCATTGCTAATCCCTCTCCGAGGAGGCCCTCAACCCTTGAGGACAGCCAGGTCCAACCTCAGAACTCCATCTCCTTGGTTAACTCAATAATTAATTCACCAACACCTGCCCCCACTGTGTGCCAGGTACTGGGCTGGCAGTTGGAGGCAGAGACAGGACAGCTGGACTGGGCTCTGCCTGCAGGGCTCGCGACTGGGAGGTGGAGTGATGGGTGGAATCAGTGGGAGGCTCAAGATCAAGTCCCTTGAAGTGTATTCATTTAATGATCCATTTGCCAAGGGATCAACGTTACAGAAGACTGATTTGCTGAACATACCAAGTTATCAATTTGTTGATTTCAGGGCTTTTTTTTTTCCAGTTCAGATGTACACAGCAATTTTATTGGAAGGATTAGAATTTGTTTTTTATCTTGTCTTTATGACAGACTTTTAAAGAATGTCCAGATGGTCAAAAGCTTAGGGTTGGGAGTGGTGCAGTTTAATAAACACACTTAATATTTGTAACCAGAGAAGGACTTTCTGGGGACATTCATCAGGAGCAGGACATTCTGGGAGTTCTGTGGCATGACAGGCTGTCTGGGACCACTTGACCCCGTTGGTGTCCTGAAACCTATACCTGTGTTCTCTGACTTGCCCTGTGATCTTGGCCATGTCCCTTCTCCTCTCTGGGCCTCTGCCTCTTCACGTACAAAGAACTCCTCATTAGGGTCCTGCTGGTATTTAATGAGACCCTGGAGCCTCCTGTGACCCCCATCGCCCAATGTGGCCAGGTTTCGGGCCGTGGGCACAAGATGCTGACTCTGTTGGGGGTGGCCCAGACCTGCTTGGAAATCAAAGTTGTAATAGGCAATACTCACCCATGTTGTAAGAAGCGTGACATTTCTGTGTCCGGTCCCCAGCTCCAGGCGAGGGGCCTAGCATGCCCGGGGTAGGGTGGGGCACATGGGGCTGCCGAAGGTGGGGCCCAACTCACTTTCCTTTCCTGGTAACACGCTCGCTAACCTCATTTCCTTTTTCTGAAGGGAAATGCCATTGACATCACACAACTGGATTTTCAGCGAGGCAAGATGAGAACTCGTGAACTCTTTGCAGGCATGAAGGATGCATGCACTGGCCGAGTGGAATTGGAGAGCCTCTGCTCTGAGGCTTCAGAGATGGGGACCCCTGGGCCAGAAAGGGGTAGAGATATGCTCTGAGGTCCACAGCCACACAGCAGAGCTAGGGCCAGAACCCAGGCCCCTGCCTCTCAGCCAGGGCTCTAGATGGGGGCACCTAAACTGCTCCCCACATTGGCCCATTTTAATAATAGCACCAACATACACTAAGTTGTCTGAGCCAGAAACTGCTCAAGTACCTCCTCACTGTAGCCACGCAGCTTCTGCAACCTGTCCCCGGGCCACCCCAGCTCAGGCCTCCTGGAGCCTCTCTAGGACCCCTGCCCAGCCTCTGCTTGGATCTCCCCACACCCGTTTAGGCTCCTTCCTCCAGTCTGTCCATTGCTTGGGTGACATGGCTGAAACACAGCCCACGATGTTACTCATCAGCGTAAACCCTTCCTGGGCCTCCTGGCTGGGCCTTCAGGGCCCTCCCCCCATCTTTGTCTTAGCCATTCTCCTTACTGCCCCAGATTAGGGAACCCTCTTGCCCGAGCTCCTGCTCTTCTCTCTAAGGGAGCCCCTCCCTCTACATGTCCATTCCTGCTTGCTCACTGCGGAGGGAGGTGCAGTGCTCCGGGATCTGCCCCCATCATCGCCTCAGAGGAAACTGACCTCCTTGGTTGACGTCTCTGAGTCTTCCTCCCCACCTCCGTGAGAGCTGCAAAGACATTTTATTGTGGAAAATTTTAAGCATACCCAAAAATAGAACAGTACAAAGAACCCTGTGTACAAGGCCACTCTTGCTTCATTTCTAACCCCCAACTCCTCCCCCACTGGATTTATTATTTGGAGCAAATCCAAAATATCAAATCATTTTATCCCTAAATATTGCAGTATGTATTTCTAAATTATAATAGCATGACCAGAATACCATTATCATACATACATTTTTATAATATTTAAAAATTATTATCAAATATCCAGTCAGGTTTAAATTTTCCCCATTGTCTCATAAATGGTCTTTTAAAATTGATTTCCTCTAGACTAGGATCCAACAAGTTCCATTCATGTCACTTGTTTGTTGGGTCTTTTGTGTTCCTTCAATATGTAGGTTTCTCCCTCTTCTGTTTTCCCTCATTTGTGAAATAAACTATCTTGTTTGTCCCTGTAGTCTTTCACATTCTGGACTTTTCCCACTGCATCCCCCATGGTGTTGTTTAACATATTCTTCAGTCCCCTGCCTTTTCTATAAATTGACAGTTAGATCTAAAGACTTCATTAAATTCATATTTAAAGTTTTAGAAAGAATTCTTCATAGGAGGTGTGTGTACAGTAGTCTCTCGTTATCCATGGGGCGTATGTTCCAAACCCCCTGGTGGATGCCTGAAACTTCAGATAGTACCAAGCCCAATATATACCATATTTTTTCATATATATATATATATATACATATATATATATATACCTATGATAAAGTTTAATGTATAATATAAATTAGGCACAGAAAGAGAATATCTGAAGTGCCAGCATCACTGCTCTTGCACTTTGGGGCCATTATTAAGTAAAATCAGAATTACTTGGCCATAAACACCATGATCTGATAGTTGTGTGACAGTCGATCTGATAACGCAGGTGGCTGCTCAGTGACAAGTGGACTGTATGATTCACATCCGGGCAAAACAGAGAGGGATGATATGAGCTTTCATCGTGCTGCTTCGAACAGTGCACAGTTTAAAACTTATGTATTATTTCTGAAATTTTCCATTTAATATTTTTGGACCACAGTTGACAGCAGTTATCTGAAACTGTGGAAAGTGAAATCATGCATAAGAGGGGAGACTACCATGCTTTCCTCAAAAGGCACATAATATTTCATTATCTATCTTTTCTTTTGGGGGCTTCTAAAAGACTTGGAGGGGCTTCCCTTGTAGCTCAGTTGGTAAAGAATCTGCCTACAATGCAGGAGACCTGGGTTCGATTCCTGGGTTGGGAAGAGCCCCTGGAGAAGGAAATGGCAACCCACTCCAGTATTCTTGCCTGGAGTATCCCATGGACTGTAGCCTGCCAGGCTCTTCTGTCCTTGGAATTGCAAGAGTTGGACACGACTTAACATCTAAACCACACTAAGATAATTGCCTAGATCTACTACTTTATCAGAGACTTGCAAAACAATATTTTATTTTCTTATTCATTTATTAACTGGAATATTTCTATAGAGAGAAACTTCGGTCATCAACTCTGGTTTCTCTGAGGTACAATCTATTCATGAATTGTAAGAAAAATGCTTGATGTTTTCCTCTTATTTATCAGCTTTCAGAATAAGGAGTTGAGTCTCTAATATTCTCTAAAGGTGACCAACAGGGTTTTGTTTGTTTGGGGTTTTTGTATCATTTGTATCTTATAGTTTTAGTGCATTTGACATGGTTTACTCTATTACAGTTACTATCAAATCATCCCATTTTTGGCCAGTAGGGATCTCTTTAATTGACTTCTGAGTCCTTTTGATCTGAACCCTAAGCAGTGTTTAGTAGCTTCCTGACTTTCTGGTATGACAAGACATCCAGATTTGTCTTGTGTATTTTTGGTCCAGATCTGGAATTAGCTATTTATCCAAGAATCTCTGGTTCTTTAAATGAGAAGAGACATGAGAGACCTCAAACCTGGATGTGAGGAGTGCTCAGTGCTATTTGGCTGTCATTATGTCTAGGTTATTTCGGGTGCAGAGCTGTGAAATACTTTTTGCTTAAGAAAATTCACACCAAGAGTTCATATTGATATTTTAAATAAAACCTAAGACTTTAAAATCCTAAAAGATGATGCTGTGAAAGTGCTGCACTCGATATGCCAGCAAATTTGGAAAACACGGTGGTGACCACAGGACAGGAGAGGGTCTCTTTTCATCCCAGTCCCAAAGACAGGCAATGACAAATAATGTTCAAGAACAAGCACATATGTAATTTTTCTAGAAATTACCGTATTCCCTCCATAGAGAGTTTGCCCCTTTTTGTATACCTACCACACACAGTTGAGAGAACTTCATTTCCCACAGTCTTGCCAACAGAGTATGTTATCAAACTTCTGAGGCTTTGCCAATCTGATAAACTTAAACCTAACCCTTGGCTTAATTTTAATTTATATTTCTCTGATTATGAACAAGGTTAAATATCTTTTCACATATTTATGTTCTGATTCACTTTTGGGTCCTTAGTACCCAGCTGGCACAGGTGAGGCCTTTTGGAGAAATTCCTAGAATGAAAAAAGGAAGGAACAGGTGAACAAACAGATGAAGTCAAATCATAAAGAGGGTGGTTGACTTGCCCGAAGTCATGTGTCCAATTATCACCAAAGTTAGAACTAGAACTTATCTTTTTTCCTTGTCTAATTAGTTTTTATGACTATAAAATGAATAGAAGTTTATAGTAGAAGTTTTCTGACTATAAAATGAGTTATGAGTTTACAGTAGAAGGTTTGGAAAGCACAGGAAAGTATCAATTCAGTTCAGTTCAGTCGCTAAGTTGTGTCTGACTCTTTGTGACCCCATGGAATGCAGCACCCCAGGCCTCTCTGTCCATCACCAACTCCCAGATCATACTCAAACTCATGTCCATTGAGTCGGTGATGCCATCCAACCATCTCATCCTCTGTTGTCCCCTTCTCCTCCCACCTTCACTCTTTCTCATCATCAGGGTCTTGTCCAATAAGTTAGTTCTTCACATCAGGTGGCCAGAGTATTGGAGTTTCAGCTTTAGCATCAGTTTTTCCAGTGAATATTCAGGACTGATTTCCTTTAGGATGGACTGGTTGGGTCTCCTTGCAGTCCAAGGAACTCCCAAGAGTCTCCTCCAACACCACAGTTCAAAAGCATCAATTCTTTGGCACTCAGCTTTCTTTATAGTCCAACTGTCACATCCATACATGACTACTGGAAAAACCATAGCTTTGACTAGCCAGGCCTTTGTTGTCAGGGAAGTATAAGCCAAGGAAAATTTTAACCTTTCTACCCCAAGTCAACCACTTGTAGTGTTCAGTCTATTTCCTCCCAGTCTTTATGTATTTTTTTTTCCAGTTATGGTCATACTACATATATGGTTTTATATTCTGTTCTTTTTCACTTAACACTTTTCCATGTTGATAACAACTCTTTGTAAACATAATAATGACTGTACAATATTTCACCATCAGAGCATATGTTTAACCTTTCAATTATTGCTAGATTTCTAGATTGTTTCCAGGTTTTCGCTATTATAAATAAATTCTCCCATGTCCATCTTTTTTCACATTCTGAAATTTGTCCCCTTAGGATTTGATTCCTGGAAATCGAGCTCTTAGAATCCCAGCACTGAGTTCCAAGTTCAGGGCTTTTCTTGGCTATGCTCAGAGGACACTGTCTGCTAAGCTTTGCCCCTGTGACTTCCTATGGCCCCAGGCTAGTGTCTAATGTCTATGCTCTGGAGCAGAGACATACTCACACCCAAATCAGTTCTGAGGAGGGGCCAAGATGGGCAGGACGGAGCCCACTCAGGAGGAGGAATCAGAATCTCCTGCCGTTCGCCCTTGAGCTCCTTGCCATCCCAGGACTATTGACAGGTTACTGGAACTAACAGGAGGAAACTGTACATGGGCAAGTTCGAGCCTGATGGAGAGTACAGGGCAAAGTCAAATCTGGTGGAGAGGGCAGGCAGGCAGGGACAATGAACAGATGCAGCCTCGGCTTTGGAAGCACTCACCATCCAGGGAGCAGATATCTGGGGTCAGAGCCTCCCACCCTGAGAAGAGCTCCGTGATAGACCCTAATACAGGACTGTTCACTACAGAGGGATGTAG